GTCTGTATTTGACAACCCTGTTGTTAGTTGTCATGGAGTCAGCTCCAACTCAGAGTGACCTTGTGTGTAACAGAACAAAATGTTGCCCAGTCCTGCACTATCCTCACAATCACGGGTATTTTGGGCCCACTGTTGTAGCTATTGTGTCAATCCATCTCATTGGGAGTTTCTCTTGTTTTTGATGACCTTCTACTTTATTATTATTATGGAAGAAGAGGAGGATGGATATTTAGGGACAACCAGCAGTTGCTGCCACAAAGACTATGCAGAAATTAGTTCACACTGAAGCTTCATAGTATAATTGTATTTTTTTCTTGTCAGTTATTTTTCTGGATTTAATCATTGCCTCGTTTTTCCCATTTGCTTAGTGTTTATATATACCCATTCTTAACTCTTTTTCCAAACTCTTATAGTACAATAAAACCCCTTTTAATATGCTCAAATATTCTTTTTTTTTCCCCCCTTGGAAATATCCCTCCTAGAATTCATCATCTTCTTGTTCTGATCTAGACTAGTCGCTCTGTAGATCTGCTCCACAGTTTTTGTCTTGGGACATCACTTTACCATAAACATGAGAATTCCTTTGTCTCTTTCCTCTATTCCGGTTTCTTGCTGCTTCGATCTTCCTTTATCTTGAATGTTTTGGTGGTTAACATCCTCTTGTAACTTCCTGATAGAAAGAGTGCATGGGAGAGAGACTCTGCAAGTCTGAAAATTTCTTTGTCTCTGGGTGTAGCATCCTAGATTGAAAATAATTTCTCTCAAATATCAAAGGCTTTGCAACATTTCTAGGTTTCTCATGCTGTTATTGAAAAGTCACATGCTGCCTTGGTTGGTGATCCTTTGTAGGTAACCTTTATTTTCTCTCTGGAAGATTTTAGATCATTCCTTTATCCTTGGTGGTCTGAAATTTCATGATGATGTGCTTTGGTAGAGGTCTTTTTTCATTTATTGTGCTGAGCATGCTGAAGCTTCTTTTAATCTGAAAAGTCAGGTCCTAGAGTTCGGGGAAATGTTTTTGTATTATTTCTTGGATTTCCTTATTGTTGTTTATCTGCTGTCTCTTTTTGCTCTGCCTATGGATCACATGGGGATCTCCTAAACTGCTCCTTTAATTTTATAAAAATATTTTCTCCCCCATATTAGTTTCCTTTACCTTTTCGTATTTCTACTCTCTGGAAGATTTCCTCAACTTTATTTTCCAGTTTTTATTGGATTTTTATTTCTGCTTTTACCTTTTTGTTTTCCAAGTTTTTTTGTTGTTGTTGTTGTTACTATTCTTTTGTTTTATAATATCCTAATTTATTTGTTTAGTTAGTTGTTTCATTTTTTAACAGCTTTATTGAGGTATGATTCACATACAATATACTGCACATATTTGAAGTATACAGTTTGATAAGTTTTGACATACGTCTACACCTGTGAAACCATAACCACAGTCAAGAGAGTGAAGATATCTACTACCCCAAAAAGTTTCTTTGTGCCCCTTGATAGTCCCTCCCTCCCATCCCTCACACTCCTCCCATTCCCCTTCCCCCAAGCAACCACTAATCTGCTTTCTCTCACTATCATCCTAATGATTTTTTATGGATGCAGTGTCTTCTCTTAACTTTTGGAGACTATAGTTTGTGCCTGCTCACTGCATTGTCTCTACGTCCTTAATGATCCCCTTGAGTGCATTCTTTTTTGATCTTTCACATTAGAGATTTTACTCAAATGTTAGGTAGATCTTTAGTTGTCTGTTTTTATTTAAGAGTGAGACACCAAAAAGCTGACTGGAAGTTACATGTTAATGGGTGGGGCTGTGGACTTGTGGTCTTTATAATGGGACACCCCAAATGTCATTGTCTATAGGTCTTTTTCCTCAGAATGGTCAGGTTTTCCACAGTAATCTTCAGATCTACTGTCTGGGGGATATAAGCATGATGTCAGTGGTTTGGGAACCAAAAGGAGGTAAGGGAGAGGCTGGGGATCTCACTGTTCAGAATGTAGAATTTCACTTAATCTCCCTGTTTGTGGAATGACACTTCTCTACCATCCATAGTGCCTGGTGTCCCAAGTCCAGAGCCTCAGTGGTTGGTATCTCCAGAAAGGCAACTTTCTGTCTACTGCTGGAGTATGGGAGGTGTAGTTTCCTGTTTCTGTGAGGTGGTGGAGTGGGCCTGAGGGTCTAACTGCTCCCTCTCATCCCATGCTTTTGACATACCAATGCCTCTGATTTCTGAGCTTTTCTGAGGTTCTGTAGCTCAAAGTGGCTTTTTTTTCCTGGTTTTCCTCCCAGCTGGCAGTTAGTCAGGATTTAGCTTTCCCTACTTTCTTTGTCTTTGTCTCTTTCCTTTGTCACTTTTTACTTTTTTACATTCATTTTAGAGAGGTTTCTGGAGGGAACAGAAATAAGCACATATGTTCAATCTTGCATATTTTTCCCCCTTAGGTTTTTTTTTTTTTTTTAAGGGATGCTTGAAATTGAAAATGTGTCCCTGCTGTCCTCCAGGGAAAAAACTACCCAATCCACATCTTGTCTCCTCAAGGGAGGGAATAAATGAAGACTTGGTATGTTGCTGTTGCATGCTGTCGAGTCAATTCCAACTCAGAGTGACCCTATAGGACAGAGTAGAACTGCCGCATAGGGTTTCCAAGGAGCTGCTGGTGGATTCAAAATGCTGACCTTCCCAGACCGAGTGTTTAACCACTGCACCACCAGAGCTCCTTCATAGACTTGGTATGCCATCTCTGAAAGGTTGCTGATGCTAGGCCCCTCCTCTGGTTGAGATGAAGTATGATAATTTATTTATCAATTTGTATGTTATGGAGCAGGAGTAAAACCTATATACAGTATTTTGAAAAATGCTTCACAACTATCCAAGGAGTTCTGTACTCACAGAGTTGCTGGCCAGTATTCACCACAGCGTTTCTAACCAAAAAACTGTACTTCTCTGCTAGGAATCTGGTCTCCAGTTTAGTCTTCATAAAAGGAGTTGTCTTTGTCCATAATTAAATACTTTATTTCTCCTCAGTTATTTCTGGTAGACACATAGGTACCGTATGGTGAATCCAATGTCTTTTTAATCTGTGCAGAGAAACTGGGAGATGTTTACATAGTCATACTCCCTTGCCACTGTCATGTGGACCCTAAATGACAGAGTAGAACTGCCCCGTAGAGTATCCTAGGCTATAATCTTTATGGGAGAAAATTGCCAGGTCTTTTCTCCTGCAGAGCCACTGGTGGGTTTGAACCTTTGACCTCTTGATTAGCAGCCTAGTGCTTAACCATTGCACCAACAGGGTTGTTTCATTTACCACTAGAGTTGTTTATAGTTCCTCCACCTCCAGTGCCTTTGAAAAGAAGCTCCATAGGCTGATAATTTTCATTGTATTTTGAAGCCTCCCAAACTCCTATGGAATATTCCCCCTGAAGTCTAAACTAATTGCACTTTCCACAGGAGCCATTTATGTTAACATCATTTTTCAAAAAGATCTAACATTTGTATAGCACATTAGAAATTTATATAACCCTTTAGAGTTCTTTTGCATATATTTTCTCAATGAACCAAACTTGTGCTCAGTGACTAATGATGTTTTTAAAAGTTTACTAGTCATTTGTATTTTTCCATTTAAGAATTTCAGTCACTTATCAAAAATATCAATATTTCATCATTTACTGTGTATCCACAGTATATTAAGCCTGCACTAGTTCTAATGATCTTGTTTCCCTTTTATTTATTTTTTTCTCTTTTCCAATTATTTTCCTAGGAATCCAATAAGATGGGAATGCAGTCCTTTAGTCTGATGAAGCTCTGCAGAAATAGTGACCGAAAACGAACAGCTGCCAAATTTTATAGCTTTCTTGTCCTAAAAAAACAGCGGGCTATTGAGCTGAGCCAGGATGCTCCATATTCAGATATTATAGCCACGGTGGGACCAATGTTCCATAAAATGTGAAGGAAATGCAGAACATTCAGGGTTATGTCATCACTGGAATTTCTGTGTTGATTGTTCAATTTAATGCAGAAGTCATTTGGAAGAGCTGAGGATCTAATCCATTTCATAGATAAACAGACTTCCTGTTTTCTCTCTGTTAAGTTCACAATAATCATAGCCAGAATTGGAAACTTACATGCTTACAGAAATATTTAATTATAGCTAAGTAATTTTTTTTTAACTTAGCTAATTTGAATATACAGCATTTATCATTTCTCCAACTTGAATGTTACATTTAGCTAGGTAGGATACATTTTTAAAATACTATATGCTTTTGAGAAACATTCAAGGATGTTTTCTAAAGGCTATTTTGCATTAAATTATTAAATTTTAATGGATTTAATTAATAATTAATAGTATCTTATTTTCCTATGGACAATAATTTATTTTAATTTAATACATATCCCTGATTTGACCTAATACCATGGTTTTTAATCTAAATCTTAATAAATGAGTTATGAAATTCATCTTTAATGTTTTAAATTACCTGAGTGGCTTTTAGTCTTATATAGAGGTTATTTAACCTTTTTTATTTACTATTTAATGATTATTATATGTCAGCAAAACTAAATCTACTTTTTATGTTAAAAAAATTAGCGACATTTGTTCAGCATGTTGTCTGCAGCTACAACTTGAATAAAGGTCACTAAAATAAATGTTGTTTTACTTGGTGTTTACTCAGCATATTTTGACATTAACAACCGTTATATTTCTTCTTAGTTGAAGTCTGAGTTAGAAAATTTTCATATGATACTCTGTGAACTGCATAGTACACCATAAAATGAAGCCCATGGTACTTTCTAAAATAGTGGTGTATCAGAAATTATGCTACAAGCAGCTACATTTGAAATGGTCTGTTTGTTTGTTTGTTTGTTTTAGTTGTGCTTTAAATGAAAGTTTACAGTTCATGCTGGTTTCTCATACAAAACTTTATACACACACTGCTATGTGACCCTAGTTGTACTCCCTATACTATGACAGCACACTCCTCCTTTCCACTCCGGATTTCCCGTGTCCATTCAACCAGTTCCTGACCCTCTCCACCTTCTCATCTCGCCTCCGAACAGGATCTGCCCATTTAGTCTCATGTATCTACTTGAGGGAAGAAGCACACTCTTCACGAGTATCGTTTTATGTCCCATAATCCAGTCTAATCTTTGTCTGAAGAGTTGGCTTCAAGAATGATTTCAGTTTTGAGCTAACAGAGAGTCAGGGGGCCATGTCTTCTGGGGTCCCTCCAGTCTCAGGCAATTAAATCTGGTCTTTTTACTAGAATTTGAATTCTGCACCCCACTTTTCTCCTGCTCTGTCAGGGATTCTCTGTTGTGTTCCCTGTCAGGTGAAATGGCCTCTTCAAATGTGTTAATTTTAAGATTTGAATGTCAAATTGCTTTTAAATTTTTGACTTTTTTAAATTAACATAAAGAAAATTTGACTTTTTATTTTGGCTTACCGTTCTATGAATTTTAACACATGTATAGATTCCCGTAACCACCACCACAATCAGGATACAGAACGATAGCATCATCCTAAAAAAAATCCCTTGTGCTATCCCTTTGTAGTCACATCTTTACCTCACTCCAACACCTGGCAACCACTCTTCACTGTGACTACAGTTTTTGTCTTTTTGAGAATGCCATATAAAGAAAATAATATAGTATGTAACTTTTGTGACTGGCTTCTTTCATTCAGCATGATATCTTTGAGATTCATCAAAGTTGTTGCATGTATGTTGCATGTTCATTCCTTTTTATTGTTGATTAGTATTCTGTTTTCTGGATAGAGCACAGTTTATTCATCCATTTGCCTATAGAAAGGCATTTAAATTGTTTCCAGTTTTTGGCAATTACAAACAGAGCTGCTATATACATTTGTGTACAGTTTTTATGTGAATATAAGTTTTCATTTCTCCAGGGTAAATATCTAGGAGTGGGATTATGGGGTCATATGGTAAGTATATATTTAACTTCATAAGAAATTACCAAAATTTCCAGGGTGGAGGTACCATTTTGCATCCCTACTAACAGTTATGAGAGTTCCAGTTGCTCTGCATCCTTAACAGCACTAAGTATTGTTAGCATTTTTTTAATTATTATTTTAGCCATTCTAATAGGTAATAGTGGTATCTCATCATAGTTTTAATTTGTATTTCTCTAATGGCTGATGATATTGAACATCATTTCATGTGCTTTCTTGATATCTTCTTTGGTGAAGTATCTGTTCAAGTTTTGGGCCTATTTTTGAATTGAGTTGCTTGTTTTCTTATTGTTGAGCTTCGAAAATTCTTCATATATTCTGGACACAAATACTTTGCCATATATGCGTTTTATAAATATTTTCTCCTAATCTATAGTTTGTGTTTGTTCTCTTAACAGTGTCTTTGGTAGAGCCTAAGTTTTTAATTTTGTTGAAGTCCAATTTATCATTTTTTTCTTTCATGGATTGTGCTTTTGATGTCATGTCTTAAAACTCTTTTCCTAATCCCAGGTCATTTAAGATTTTCTCCTATGTTTTCTTCTAAAAGTTTAAGATTTGTACCTTACACAGTTAGATACATTGTAGTTAATAAAAATTAAAGAGTATAAGATGTGAGGTTTGGGTCAAAGTCCTTTTTTTCGCATATGGATTTCCAATTATTGAAGCACCATTTGTTGAAAAGAATATCCTTTCTCCATTGAATTGCCTTTGCACCTTCATCAAAAATAAAATTGCCCTATTTGCGTGTGTCTATTCTCAGACTCCATTCTGTTCCATTAGCTTGTGTGTCTATTTCTTCACCTGTGCTACACTGTCTTGATTACTATAGCTTCACAACTTGTTGCTATCGAGTTGATTCTGACTCATAGTGACCCTATAGGGCAGAGTAGAATTGTCCCATAGGGTTTCCAAGGAGCAGCTGGTGGATTCTAACTGCTGACTTTTTGTTAGCAGCCAAATGCTTAACCACTGTGCCACCAGTGCTCCTTAGCTTCATAGTAAGTCTTAAAAATGGGTGACATCATTCCCCCAACTTTATTTTTTTCTTTTTTTTCACGATTGTTTTGGCTATTCTAATTCTTTGGTCTTTCCATATAAATTTTAGAACTAGCTTGTTTATATTTACAGAAATTCCTGCTGGAATTTTGATTGGAATGGCATTAAATGTTTAGATCATTTTGGGAAGAATTGATATTTTTACTCTGTTGAGTTTTCCAATCTGTGAATATGTTATATCTCTCCATTTATTTAGTTCTTCTTTCATTTCTTTAATTAGCATTTTGCTGTGTTCAGCATACAGATTCTGCACATATTTTGTTAGATTAATGCTAATATGTTTCATTTTTGGAGATACTTTAAATAATACTGTTTTTTAAACTTCTGTTTCCAATTGTTCATTGCTATTATATAGAAATATGAGTATATGCAGTGTCTAAAGTTTTTGTGTGAATATAAGTTTTCATTTCTCTAGAGTAACTACCTAGAAGTGGGATTGCTGGGTCACATAGTAAGTGTATGTTTAACTTTATAAGAAATTACCAAATTATTTTCCAGAGTGGATGTACTATTTTGCATTCCCACTAGCAATGTATGAGAGTTCCAGCTGATTTTTTGTTTACTTTTTATTTTGAGATAATTGTAGAGTCACATGCAGTTGTAAGAAATAATACAGAGAGATACCGTGCCCTTCACCTGGTTTCTCCCAGAGGTAACACCTTGCATAATTATAGTACAATATCACAACTAGGAATTGATACAATCCACCCACCTTATTCAAATTTTGCCTGTTTTACGTGCACATGCGTGTGTGTATTTAGTACTATGCAGTTTTATCACATGTTGATTTGTATGACAATGACCATAGTCAAGAAACAAAACAGTTCCATCACAACGATCATTCTTGCTACCCTTTTGTAGCCACAGCTACCTCCCTCCCTACCCTCCTACCTAACTCTGACAACCTCTAATCTGTTCTTCATCTCTTATGGTTTTTTTATTATTACAATTGGTTTTTGTAGGTTAACTTGGTATCCTGTGACCTTGCTAAACTCACAAGTTAGTTCTAGGAGGTTCACAAGTTCTAGGAGGTTGTTTGTGTTTTCTTTTTGGTAGATTCCTTGGAATTATCTACATAGATAATTATGTAAGTACTTCCCAATTAGTCTCCAACTACTGGGGAAGGTGAGGGTCCGTAAAATGACTATGGCTGGTGCTCACAGGTTAGTGTGTTAGAAAGAACCTCCTCTAAGTAGAATTATATTTATTTTGTAGTTATGATGTGTATATAATCTTTTTTTATTTTAGTTTTTGTTTGGGGACATTGAAATATAACTGTATATCACTTCATAGTATATTTTACCGTTTTAATTCTTAGACATCCTGGGCATTCTTGCAGGAAGATTTGCTAGATACTTTGCCAAATCCAAAGTGAAAGCATAAACCTTTAATCTGTACATATTAACATATTTTTCCCTACACTTCTCTCAATCCCATTCCAAAACAAAACAAAAACTAGTGATTCCTTTGGAATAATTTTATTTTGCTTTATGCTTATAATCCTTATTTGTTACAATTTACATTGTAACTAAACACTGGCTCTCTTCTCAGTCACCTGCTCAGGAGAGAATTCTTTACTAGTCAACACTATTCCAAATGGAAATAATGGGCATGGAGGTATTGTCTTGCTTTGGGAAAGCTCTTGTGAAGATTTCTTGGAAATGTAGTCTTCTAAGTACCAAGCAGAAGAACACAGGAGACAGACAAAAAAAAATTATAAATGACAAGCTCAGAAATTATGTCGTATTAAACAAACAGAAAAACAGTAATTACATGTCTTCCAATGGTTTCACTTTAAATGTTAGTCACCTTTATGTATATATGTTGTTGTTGTTACGTGCCATCGAGCCGATTTTGACTCATAGAGACCCCATGTGACATAGTACAACTGTTCATAGGGTTTTCTTGGCTGTAATCTTTCAGAAGCAGATCGCCAGGTCTTTCTCTCACAGAGCTATGGGGAGAGAGAGAGA